CAGTGCGTAAATGAAGACGGTCGAACAACCACTAGGCAAATTTGTGAAATCAGATGGCCTGAGCAAAGTGGTTTTGGCAGGCCATAGAATTGGTCCGGATCTGATAATCAGTTTTACAGTCCGGTTGCCTATTAACAGTTACCATGAGCCTATTCAGTAGTTCAAAGACTCTGGACACTGCGTTGTTGACTAGCAGAATCTATGATTATCAAGGAATACACTTAATTCCAGGGTGTAGCCCGAGCGATTAATCCTGACGACTGTTGTTCCTTATCTGCCAGGATGATAAGTTCTCCATCGCTGTCGAGAAATTTGACATCAATGGGACTGGCCGGAGAACAATACAGGTTAACAGAGACAATGCATGGCCTCCGTAAATGGCCAGACTAAGGGTTGCCGAATCTGACAGAAACGTAACCGTCGAATGTACTGCGATTGTATAGGAACCCTGTTAAATGGTGTTCACGAGGGGGGATAATTAGACTGTGAGGCTGTAAAACTAAGGTAGGTGGGAGATGCCACCTCGCTAGAAAAACAGTCGACGGACTCAGGACTGAGAATAAGAACTAGGCGTGATCTTTGGAGCAAGAACTTTATTCGTCTGATGTCTCGGATTCATGCTCCAGGCTATCATCATAGGCAGCATCAGGTACGGGTTTGATGTGCTAGTCAAAGGGCCCTGAACGCACTGTTATATTGATGACCGTCCTCTACTGAACATATTGAGACCTGACCCAGGCCAACCATAATGCTTTGTCGATGGGGTTTATCTCTGAAAGATCGATCAGTAGCAATACTGTCAACGACCGTAAGTCATAGATATGTAGCTAAAAATGATGAGAGGAAAAGCGGGACTGTCGGAGTAACTCATAGTAACCAGGGCAGAGAATGAATTTATGGTTGCCAGGCCGGACAGACAAATTTTGAGAAGAAAAATGTTTCGAAAACCAAAGTGAATTCCAGCCGGGAGAGGTGCAATCGGAGGTTTTTTTAAGGACGACATAGTATGAAACAGAAGTGAAGACAAAGAAGGAGTCAAAGAACTTGTGTACGCACAACAGCCAAAATGCTACACCTCATTTGATATGCAAGTTGTGGGGACCCAAGAAAATGGAAGAGAATAGCATGATTGTGTTCTGTGCGACTTCTTCAGTAAAAGGATTTAGGGCAATTAATTAATTAAACTTGGTAGTGATACGGTACTGCTAACAGTGGACCAAATATCGCGCTTCCTAGGTTCCGCGAAAGATAAGCTAATAAGAAGACTTTAAAAGGGGATAAGCTAGATGAAGCTAGACCTGGATAGAAGCGACAAGACACCATCAAATCTGTAGTGGTTGTTCTTAGCTCACTACAATCATCAAGCCAAAATACCAATTTGTACATAAAAGGCAGAAAGCACCTGTGAGAAATATTTCTTGTGCACAGAACTCCCAGTTGCTGTCTCAGGCGGCAGACGTCACTGGCAAAGTCGGGGCTGGTGTTGACTGCATCCAGTCAGGCCAGAGAGCGATTGAGACAGTGATGGCAATTGCTTGAGTAGGATTGCGGAGCAGATGTAAGTGTTCTCCAATTGGTGCTTGTAACATTACTCGAGGGATGTCCTGTCTGGTAGCGTGAGCTGTGTCGGCCGAGGGTGGGGAAAGGGGACGTGTTCAAGTGGCTATTGCGCAGTGGCGAGTACCTGGACCCATGTGCCTTTGTCCGAGTAGAATTCAGTCAAGTGCCTGCTTCTGAAAGCTCTGACTGAGATTGGATGGCCTTGAGACAGTTGACCTTGAAAAAAGAAGCCGGACACAGCTACGTTGGGTGCCGACTTCGATCAATTTTCTGCTTGTCTTGTTTCCCACGTAGGCGAGTAGAGAGCAGAGCAGAGAATTGATCGAAGCCTGGTCCATGAACAGGAATTCAGTAAACCGATGTGTCGAATTGGCGCCGGCGTGCAGAGCCTTGTGCAATTACGTACAATCACAGCCAGACGTCCGTCACAGTTACTTGGACGCACATCCTGTATAATTGCCCCATTTTCGTTGC